CTTTTTGTTTATTGTGGTCATCCAAGAGGCTTCAATTCTGTCCAGACAGTTCCAGAAACAAATAAGAGTTGTCTCGTCTATGACAGTTAAGAACCACTGGTTTAGGAGGCGCAGCAGTAGGACCTCACTCTCCTCCGTTGGTAAAAATAAAACCACTGAGGCACCATTGCCCTCTGCATGTGGTCAGCAGTGGTTCTCCTTTGGTGTCGCCTGAGGAGAGAAAGTTCTGTGTGCTGATGTTGTTGGATGAGGCACCCTTTGCAATTAGTTGTGGTTGTTCTTGCTTTAGCCAAAGGTATTGGCCGTTATCCAGTAAGGAAAATGAAAATCTTGCCACTAGAAATTAGCCTCATATTTTGGCCTTTGGGGACACTGACTCTGAGAGGGATGGATGGCTATGGCAGGCCAGAGACTTTCCATTCAGTTTTGAACCAGGTTCATATCTGGCCTACAGAAATGGGTTGTTCTAGAAAGCCTGCCCTTCGGTACCATGTGATCGGGCACAGGAGAACAATGCCTTGAGTGAGTTTCATTTGCTGTTTTATGTCCCACTACTTCATGTTCCTGTGCCACCCCTAAGTTGTTTGCAGCTATTTCTGTGTCTCATATAAAATCCATTCCTCTTGTAGACTGCATCTCTCACCGTGGTGAGAAGCCAGGCTCCTCTCCTCACTGGAGCAGGTGCACACGTGGTTGCTTTTCAGGAGCATTTGAGATCCTTGAATTCAAATGCATGTGTCAAGTGCCTCTCCCTGGCTGCACAGACCCTGGGGGTCAGGCTGAGAAGAGGGGACGGCTCCTCACTGCCCAGGGAGCCCTGGCAAGAGCAAAGGAGCTCGCAGCACCTCCAGCAGCTACCAGCAGCACTTGGCTTTCTGTTTCTGTGTGCATTCCCCTCAAGGGCTGTCCTCCCTACAAAAAAACAAAAGTCACTGAGAAATTTAGAGCTTCTTGGAAGCTGCTGTGTGACCATGAGGCTTTGCCGTATACTCTGTGTCTCATGTTCTGGCAAGGGAGTAGATACCCAAAGAGCTCCAGCCCAGATTAGCCGTTCTGGATGTCATTGTGCCTCTCTGTCCATCTTGCATTTCCACATAGCTCCTTCTGGCGAGGCAGCTGGTCAGACGTGCCGGCTGTGAGCAGCATGGCCAATGTTGTCCTCTGCTGTGAGCAGCATGGATGAGGCTGTCCCCTGTGAGTGCTCAGCTTTTCATTCTGGGGTCACCACAGGTCTTCGGCTTGCTTGCGCTGCTCCACGTAAGCCCACAGTGCGTGCAAACCACTCTGCCGCTGCCTGCTGGTTCTCCTTCTCAGGACCAGCACGCTTCTGTAGCCTGGTAAGGGTTTCAGGCTTTGTCATCTATTCCTATTTACGTTAAAGCCATTTATCTTTTCTGTGGCATTTATTCCAGGACTAGACTTGGAGGCCCTGGGGGGAGGACCAGAGCAGCACGGACTGTATGGGAGGAAATGTGCAAGTGTTGGGAAGTTCTGTTTTTAACAAATAGCTTTATCTTTCATCTGCTTTGATAATTCTGGTTGCCCTCGGGAAAATTCCTAAAGGGGCACGTAAGACAATAGTTGAAGCCCTGCAAGCCTGGACCTCTTGGGCTCTGCTTCTGTTTTCCTCTGGGACACCAGACAAGTTACTCTGATCTCTCTGTACATTGTTCTCCCCATTGTGAAAGATGACAAAAATGTGTCTGAGGAAAGCAGTGAAGGATTAAGCACTTTGAGGGTCTTGAATGAAGACTCTGTGGTTGGTCTGAATCACCCTGTTGGGGCAGCTGGGAGCTGGTTTGGAAATGTCTGACACAGCTAGATGTGCTTGAAGAGAGGCAAAAGCACATTTACCTGCTAGCAGAGCTTTACATTAGTAATTAGAGGGCTTGTTGAAAACAGTCCACAGACAGAAACCAAAAAAAATGGGGATCTGAGAAAGGGCTTAAAAATTAGGGATGCTGTGTTATTTACAGGGTTATTGGAGGGAAAGGAGGAAGGATAACAGTTCAGTGCACTGAATAGCTTAGACGCTTGCTAATGCAAGAGTGGATAAACAGGAAGAACTAGATGTCTTAACACATCATCTAATAGGTATAATAGACACGTGCTGGGATAACTCACAGGGCTGGAATATTAATAGAAAAGAATAAAGCTTGTTCTGGAAGGGTAACAGAGGTGGCAAGGGAAGAGATGTTTTCCTTGTATGTTCATGTGCCCTGAGATCTCGTGTGAGGAAGATGTACAAATCACAGATGTCCGAGTAATGCTACAAGGGTAAAGAACACAGGCACAGCAAACCACGAGGGGCAGTTTTTTGTGGAAAAAAATAAAATAAAATGCATTTTTCTGAGAGACATGGCATGATGGCACATGAGGAATTCTAACTATGCAGAGGCAGAGTTGGAGGGGAGCGTAGGGGTATACGACCTGTTCAGCTGGCACAGCACTTTGGTGCAGAGGTGGGTAATTTTTTGGAGCTAGAGAGGAGGTTGTTCCAGAACTGGTTCCCACCAACAGGGAGGAGCTGGCTGGTCCTGTGAAAGCAGAAGGGAGTGTAAAAGGGAATGATTACGAAATGACAGTATGATGCTTTGGAAAAAGTGACAATATTAACGTGTTTAAAATGGACTTCAAGAAGGAAATCTTCAGCAAATATGAAGAACTAGTAACTGAGATCTCACGGGAAGGAATTCTGGGGTGAAGGGAGAATTAAGCAGAGCTGTCGTTTTCTGACGTAATTGCTATTAAGGGCACAGCTATAAGGTATTGTTTTTCAAGGAAAGGCTCAGAGGAGTGAGTGAAATGGCAAAATCACAAGCTCCTCATTCACTTCAGGCAGAGGAAGGATGTCTCTAGAAGGTGCAAAGCAGTTTGATTTATCCAGCACAAACTGTGTGGCAAAGGCTCAAAGCAAGAAAATGCTATCAAGGACATAAAGGGCAATAAAAGTTGTTCTGTAAGAGTTGGGATCTCTGGGGTTCTGTAACCCTTCTAATAAGAGGGAGATCAAAGGCGGTTTATGTCTGCTGCTCAGTGAAAAAAAAGCCTAGCAAATAATGCTACGAAATCTGGGTTTGGGTTTGGTTTTTTTGTGTTTTTTTTTTTTTTTCTTGAGACATCTAACATAATAGTTGCCAGAAACGGAGGAGAAGGGGGAGGTTTTGGGCCAGAATAGAGAGGGAGTGGGTTGGCTAGGTAAGGTAGAGCATGGCCTGGAGCAATGCTGCCTTTGAGAGTTTCTGGTGCACAGACAGGCAAAGTTCAGAAGACTGGGAAAAGAACAAGCATAGCATCTGTCTTGAAACAAGGGAAAAGAAATTTGAGCGATTATAGATATATTGGCTTCACCACTTGTGTAAAGGTTGAAACAATCCAACAAACCACTTCAAAGTAACTAGGAGTGTCTGTGTGGGGAAGAGATGATTAACAGCCAGCAGCCCTGAAAATCTGCATCAAACCAAAATTAATTTTGTGTTAGTGGTAGCCAGAGGGTTAGTGAAAAAGCCTTAGGTAGCTGTCATGTATCTTGACTGTCACTGGTGGCATTTTTACAAGTAAACTGGAGATACATGCTTGAGATAGAGCGAGTGCCAGACTTTTCAGAAAAAAAACCACCATAAAATACACTGACAATAGTTATCAATGACTGATTACAAAACTTGAGAGATTCATCAGGGGTGTATCCTGAGTCTGGTATTCAATATTTTCTTCTACATCTTGGCTGGCAGAATAAAGAACACAGTAAATCTGCGAATGGCACCACACTGGCAGGAGCTACAAGCACACTGAATGATAGGATTAGAATTGATTAGTTGGAGAAATAGACTGAAAAAAATTGGATGTAGTTCAGGAAGGACAAATGAAAGATTTGCATTGCCTGATGAGGCCTCAGCTCTGCCAGAAAGGAGCTGCCAAAACGGATCATATTCTGGAACACCATCAGTTGCATGCTGGTGGTACATAAGGATATTATTTTAAATTACTCCTCGGTGAATTCTCATGTCAAATATGCATTGTCTACAAGATAGGTGAAGTGTCCCTTGTGCTCCAGTCAGCTTTTGTAAGACTTCAGCTGCAAGCTGTGGCCCATCTTGGCCACTACGCCTCCAGAATGAGGTGAACTAGCTGGGAAGTCCACTGGAGAGCAGCAAGAGTGATGCTGCTTCTGACAGACTGACTCATAAGAAGTGGCTGAAGAAACTGGAGTTGCTTACCCTTGGGAAGAGAAGACTACAGTAAGGCATAACATCCTTCAATACATAATGAACTTGTCTGTGCTCTGCATCCTTCGCAAGTAGAACAAGGAACTGAGGGGAGCAGAAGAGCACTGTTGACTACCCCATAATTTGTTTAAATTGAAGTAAGGAGTTTTATGTCAGATAATGGGGAAAAATCTCCCCCAGGGGAAGGACACTGCAGTCCTGGAATAGGCAATCTGAAGAACAGCCATCACTGGAGCTTTCTAGGACATTTATTGGGAGCGCGACCCTGTCTTGATGTAGAGGGTAGATATAATGACTTTCTGAAATCTGTTCCAGTAGTTTTTGATTTCATGATAGCTATGGTGGTGATGTCCCGTCTATGGGATCGTGCTAGGAGATGTACTTGTAATGGAGGAAGATCACTAACAGGATACCGCTGGCAACAGCCCCAGAGACTTCAGGGGGAAGAGATGGAGCAGGGCAGGAATAGAGCACCACTAGTTGAGTGATAATTCTTGTCCAGGAGAAAGTGAACAAGCTGTAAAACCACTGCTGGCATTGCAGTGCAGAGGAGACTTGGAGTACGGGCTATGTGCTATGGTGCCAGTCCACAGTGCTGCTCCATCAGTGTCACCAGCCTCTTCAGTTCCCTGACATGGGGCGGTTACACAGAGCACAGATTCCTGGTGACATTGCCTTTCGGCAGCTCTGCTTGCTTTTTCTGATGCTTCATTCATGACTGCATTGAGTCTGTTTACCTTCAAGCATGTCTGATGTGTTTCCTCTTCTTTACAGAGGAAGAGAGACAACTTCAAGCAAACAACCGGGATTTTAATCTGCAGTTTGAATATGCTGTAAGTAACTGGCATATGTTGTTTCATACAGATGTTATCACAGATGTAGCTGCGTCTGCTTCATGTCTCGAGTGTTGTTTCAAGGGGTTGACATGACTACATGCTGGCTATGACTCTGCAAACAAGGCAGACACGTGCCAGATGAACCATCAGCGATGGTTCATTGCTGAGTCAGCCAAAGGGAGCTCTGGCTTTGGACTCAACCCTGCGAATGGGCAGTCGAAGGGGATCTAATGCTGGAAGAGTGTAATGCAGTGACTTTACACACTTCCAGAAAATTATTTGTGAGTCAAAGAATTTGCAGGATCAGGATCCAAGGCCTTTCAATAAGGGAACCTGGGGGGACTTATCTGTTGGAAATGTGTCTCCATTTAAAGTAAGACATGAAAGGAAATGTGTCAGTTCCTCAGCTCTTGCAGTGAAATCCTCTCTGGCAGGAAGGTTTTCAATCTGGCCTTTGTGGCTTCCTGCCAGCTTTATTTTCAGCTCCTTAACTTAGGTTCACATCATGCCATGAAATCTGTGACTCCAAGGAGCACCATGACTTGGGCTGGCTGTGACCCAGGTCTGCCAGGCTACGGAGCCAGGCAGCCCCTTGGGCAACTTGATTTCCAAAGTTTGTGGACCATTTGCTCACGCTGTGTGCAGAGAAGGGCTAGCTCAGTCGCGTGACCTGTATTGCCTGGTTGCAGGGTTGTCTCCTTGAGGCAATCCTGAAGCTCCATTCTTTCAAAGCATTTGCAGCTGCCAACTGGTAATGAAATGAATTTTGTGAATTTTTGTCCTCTGAATTCCAGTGGTAAAATTTTCATCCTTCAGTTTTACTCAGGAGCTCCTTTGAATCATGTTTTGGTTTAGGAACATCACAAGTATCTTCTTGGTAAGAACTGGAAAAACTCAGTATTTCAGAACATTGTAGTTTCTTGTGAGATAAAAAGTCTGACTTGCCAACAGCTTTGACTAAAGATCTTAATGTAGCTGATCTGTGAGCAGTGTGAAATGGATGGTTTTCAGTGGTCACCTGTCATCCATGAACTAACCAACACAGGTTAGAGACTTCCTAGGTGCAGAACTGCTGCACGTCCTGAATATGAAACGCATTGTAGTTAATGTATGTAAAGGACTATGCAGCACAAATGCCTCATCAAGCCTGGTGATTTGAGACTGGGAAAGTGCATTTCACTTGCACAGAACCTGCCCATAGAGTACTGGGGTAGGTACTGCCACTACGTATGGGTTTCTGATCTTTCACTGAATGATTCCAGCTCTGGAACCCCCAACATAGGAAAGACGTGGACCTGTTGGAGTGGGTCCAGAGGAGGGCCACAAAGATGATCCGAGGGCTAGAGCACCTCTCCTGTGGGGACAGGCTGAAAGAGTTGGGGCTGTTCAGCCTGGAGAAGAGAAGTCTCCAGGGAGATCTTATTGCGGCCTTCCAGTACCTAAAGGGGCCTACAGGAGAGCTGGGGAAGGATTTTTTACTAGGTCATGTAGTGATAGGATGAGGGGGAATGGCTTTAAACTGGAAGAAGGTAGATTTAGATTAGATATTAGGAAGAAATTTTTCATTTTGAGGGCAGTAAGGCACTGGCACAGGTTGCCCAGAGAAGTTGTGGAAGCTCCATCCCTGGAGGTGTTCAAGGCCAGGCTGGATGGGTCTTTGAGCAACCTGGTCTGGTGGGAGGTGTCTATGCCCATGGCTGCGGGGTTGGAACTCCCTGATCTTCAAGGTCCGGTCCAACCTAAACCATTCTCTGATTCTATGATTGCAATGTAGACTATGTGCAGTAGTGGGGCAGGAAAGCAGGAGGGAGATGTACAATGATATCAGGGTACAGAGAACAAGCAACAATTCTGGTTATGAGCTTATTTCTGTGAAAAGCCATTCATAAGGTTGACTTTGCATGTCACTGCTTCCCAGCTGATTGCTTACATGCCCAAAGATTTGCAAATAAACAAAATTAAGGAGAGGACTGTGAGACCTCTGGAGGGTTTCCGTAAGAGTCTGTTGATTAGGTATGAAAGTGGAGGCAGCCAAAAAGTCAGCTCAATATAATCTGCTAAAACTTGGCAGTGAGTTTCAGTAATCCTACCCCTCATTTTAGTCAGCTGTGGCTCACGATTTCTGTAGTCCAGTGTAGACTGAGGCTTAGGAAATCTAGAAGACAGTCCAGAAAGAGCCAAGCCTTGAAGTGGTGAGTGGGTGGTGAGGCACTAAAAGACTTAAAGTGGTGAGGTGCAGGGCTGCACATCATTCCTGGGCTGCTTATTTTCAGTAAATCCTGGCAAAAGTTCAATCTATTAAGCCCTCATTACCATGGTGTATGAAAAGGAGTAACCTTGCTCATAAATTACTCCAGATCCCATGCTATAAATTGCTGGGTGCATCTGGAGATGCCCAAAGGGGAGATAGTCTCCTTGTACCCTCCCATCAACATATGCACAGCGCTCCTGAAAGTTACCTCTTCCAGCCCTGTAGTCCACTGCAAGTGTCAAATCTGGGCCCCTTCCTCACGTTCTGAATGCAGTGGGGTTGCACTGCTAAGCACAAGGATGTGGTCCAGGGGGACCAAGACTTTCCGAATGCAGGAGCCAGCCTTGGGCACAGCAGCTATTAGATTCAGCTGTCTCTCAGCATGCTGACATTTTCTAGACAGAGTGATTTCTGTCTCCTGGAGCCACAGTCCTCCCTCAAGATGACTTTCCACCCTCATATATTTAATTTGACCTGTGTACAAACAAATGATGAAAGTATTGGACTTCACTCTGGTCCTCAGCTCTTTGGGGCACAAGAATCGACATTCATGGACATGTGGTGATTTGAGTCTTCTTTATAGAGCCAGGAGGAGAAGAGCCATCCTCTACCTCTCAGTCCCACAACAAGAACCATTAGTCCTTGTCCTCCTGCATAGGAGTCTTGTCTTCTCTCGAGGCATAAAGAAGGCTGTGCCAATTCCTGCCAGATAAACGGGACACTGGGCAGAAACTGGAACAGCACCCGGCAATATAGCAAAGCTTAGAAAGTATTTTAGACAGTGAAAGCTGCAGGAGCGAGGTTTACTTCACTTGGTAACTTAAGGCCATGTTAGCCATAAAACCTATAGAACAGGTTCTTGTAACAAAGCTAGGTGAGGCAGTAAATGTTTCTTTAGGGTGAGGCAGCAAGGTGAAAAAGGCCAGCGAGGAAAAGAAAGGGAAATGCAAACAGAGGCATTGTGTATTGCTTTACTGCTGCAGCCAGGCTGTGTGTGGCAGCTGGTGTGAAGATTCGACCCTTTCACTAAAAAGAGAGTTTCTATTGTGTAGGCATAGATCAAAGGTACAGAGATGCTTTGTCCTTGTTTAGTTTCAGTGAGAACAGGGAAGTGGGAACCTACAGTTGGAGGTGGGCGTGTTGTCCTTGAGTAGTTGGTCATTATTGTCCCTTCCCGGTGCAAAGTCTACAGGATGTCTGTGAAGGGAGGAGAGAGTTGCTGAGAAAAAACTGAAAACTCTATTGTGTGTGCAGCCCTGACATCAGCTCTGGCAGCTGCTGAAAGCTGGCCCTCCTGGTATGAAGCAAGGCTCATGAACACACTCAAACCAGCTTTGCAGGAACCTGGTGCTGCACTGTGGAAAGCGGTGTCTGCCGATGCATGCAAGGGCATGTCCAGATCCATCACACCTGGACTTGCAGGAGACTGTGGAGAGCAAATTCACTCCCAGAGCTCACCAGAAGATACGCGAGAGGCCAAGCTGTAGTGTGTCCCTGCCACACTGCTCCAGCCATGGAGTGTCTTTAGCTGAGCACCACCAGGCAGGATGGTTGGGCGGTGGGGGAGGCTGGACCGATAGGGGAGGATGAAGATATGAGGAGAAGAGCTGCACATAGTGGAAATCCCCTTAACACAGAGGCTCCACGGTGAGGCAGAGGGACAGTTTCAGAGGAAGAACTTAATGCGCCCCATGGGCATATGAAATATGTCCTGCAGTGGCCTGGAAGATTGGAGTGGTCTCCTTCATCTGCATGAAGAGAGGCAGTACAGACTGGGAGGGAGACAAGGAAAGTGCCTCTTATCTGAAGAAGCGTCCTCTGATGATTTTTGCTGTGATTAAATAATAGGAAGTGCCTGTGGTTAAGGGCAGCAGCTTCAAGCAGTGGCTGTGGCAGTGCTTTGGTATGTCAGGATTTATTTGGACCTAGTGTGAAGACTGAAGCTGAAACTAGAGTGCTCAGACTGGTGCAGCCCCAGACATCCTTGGCCTTATCCTGTACAGCAAGAATAGAGTAGCTTAGAAAAATAATTAAAAAAAACCACCTTTAAAACAAAGTGCTGTGCAGTTAACTGGAAGGGCTGAGTGTGAAGGTATGTACTACCCACCAGCTCACAAAATTAGTTAGGAATGACTCAGAAACCAAGCGTGATTGAGTGGCATGTAAAGGCACTTAATGCAGCACAAAAATGGACTCAATATAGGTCTGTAAAAATGAAAAGTCAAGTCCTAATCCTGTGTTTATTCACACCACAGACAGGAAGATCCTTCCTGACTTCAGTAAGAGGTTTGCCTGTGTAAAGACTGAAATAAAGTGAAAAGCAGGGTGCCAGATGTGGTCCAGCAAGATTTAAGGGCTTTAATCAAGGTTCTTATCTAAGGCAATTCCATCTGTCTGCACTGTCCCCAGTCGGTCTGCACTGTCCCCAGCACAGCTGCAGAGCGGACAGCCCTGTGTGGGTCCACTGCAATGGGCTCTTTGTCTATCAACACTCTGGAGAAGAAAATCTCTTCTGAAGACTTTTAAAGTTTGCTCTGATCCCAATTCCCTTTTGTTTCTTCGCTTTCACATTGGAATTTAGCACAGCTGCCCTGGGACGTCACAAAGGGCTGCGAAAACAACTTTGAAATTGGCTTTCAGACAATAGGAGAGGAAATGCAGGGCCCATGAGTCAATGACAAATTTCATCTTGGATCAGGATCTAGGGTCAAACCAGCATCCTTTCTGCAGGACCGGCAACAAGGAG